CTGGCTAGCTGGCTGGCTAGCTATCTAGTATCACCTCTCTATCGCTTTATCTGTCTATCGTCTATCTATCTACCGATCGATCGATCTATCTATTTGTCTATCTATTTATCGCCAAATCTAGCTATCTAGCTACCTACCTACCTACCTACCTACCTACCTACCTATCTATCTATCTATCTATCTATCTTTCTTTCGATCTAGTTATCCATCTATCTATCTATCTATCTATCTATCCATCTGTCTATCTATCTATCTATCCATTTGTCTATCTATCTGTCTATCTGTCTATTTATCTATCGATCTGTCTCTCTCTCTCTCTCCCTCTCTCTCGATCTATCTATCTATCCATCCATCGATCGATCTATCTATCGATCTATCCATACATAAGCCCGAAACTGCCGAAGCCCTATGGCTAGCGAGGCATGGAGGGCGAGCCTGGCCAGCTCAGAGCTCAAGCGCTTCGCTTGAGGTGGCTTTGTCGCTTTGGGACTCAGTGCGAAATATGGGAGCTTCAGGAAATGTAGGTGTACCTTATTCAGGAGGCCATATCACACGGGTCCTCTTGTTTGGGGAATGTATTGAGACCTCCAGCTGCATAATATCTCGACCCTATGTTTTTTGTGTGTACCATTTTCCGCCCTTTGCTGTCCTGCTGGCCTTTCGGGATGACCTTGCGGAGTTGCCTAGCACCCCGCCTTTGCCTTGGGTTTGGCATCGGCCCTACCTTTGCCCTCTCTCTGATGTCTGCCTGCCACGCGAAGTACTACATGCTACTCCCTCAACAAACAGCACAATCTGTTATGCACCGGGCCGGTGGCAGGCACGACAAAGCTATGTCCTAGACTGTTTCTAAAGCAGACGTGGCTCTTCTAGCACTTCGGCATACGGAAGGGCTGCCCTATGGCCAGGAAGGACCTAGCCCCCCGAAGCTTGCTCGGCTTAGGAAAACCCTAAACCCTAAACCTTCCCGGCTAGATAACTGTCTTATAATATAGATTATGGGGTTTCATAGGTGATTGAACAGCATTCCTTGCAGTTCCCAAGAACTATACTGAACATTCATGCATTGTGGTTGACATCCTTCCAGTTCTTACAATCCTCCATTTAATCAGGCTTGGTGACCATCGTAATCCTCATTGTGAAAGGGGTGTTTATGAACCAGCGGCTTGCATGAAGGCTGTGCCTCGAAAGCTGTCCCCAATAGACCCATACCACAAAACGTCGTCGATGCCCAGCTGGAAGCCTAATATAGCAGTTTGAGCAATCACAAACATTAGTGTTCCTTACCATAAATATACGCTAGAATCCAGTAGGTCTTCACCAGGTGGGAGGCTCTCTGCTCCGGGAAACAGGAGAGCGTCTTCCATGCGAATCTGCCCTACCGCCGGGGATGATGATGCTGAGGATGCGTGTAGGGCTAGAGGGCTTCATGATGCGGGAGACGGTGATGATGCATGTCCTTTCGGTGCAGAGACCCTTCACGAGTTCGACACTTGTGGCTTAATTGCTTCACATCTTCTTGCTAGAAAAGCTCGGAAGTTCTGGAAATTGGTGTTGCGGGTGAAGGTTCGCCTGTTTTGAAGGGTTTCGGAGTGTCGGATGTCAGGTTTCAGGTACGAAGCTCAAGTTGGGCAATGTGGCTTCAAATCTGGATGTGTATGGTGCGCTTTATTCTGCGAGGGTTTCATGCTTCGAATTCTTTGTGCATTCTTCTAGGCTTTGAAGGTTTTGGGTGTGGGGATGGAGGGCAAGGGAATGACATCACGGTCCGGTTCGTGGAGAATCTGGGGGGAAGCTGGAAAATCTGGAGCACTAATTGTCCATCGCCTCCAAACCTCGTCGAGCGAGCGTCGGAGCGTAATAGCGAGGCTGGCCTCCCCTGGCAGAGGAGCTTCAACAAGTAGCAGACACGCTTGGCACAAAACCTCATAGCTGCCTCAGCGTTTTCTACGCATTGTACTTGCTGACCTTGCTCGATCCCCTCAGCGAAGCCTAGTCAGCCCTTGTGAAAGTTGTTGTGCCTCATTCTGTCCCGAGTCCTGACACCCTCCACCCAGCGAACCCAGCACCGAGTTTTGCCAAACTCTGTGACGGGAGGCTTCAGGACCCCTGAAGGCAGGGATCTCGATTCTTCACGAAAAGCCCCTCGGCCCCCTCGGTAAAGCAGTGCCACACCCCTGAACTTCATGTTTGAAACAGGAGTATCTAGGAGCCCTGAACCACATCATCAAGATCATGCGAAGGACACCCTAACATCCTCAAGAAGAGCCCGCTAACATCTCCGAGCTGCCCGAAACTTGAACCTGGAACCCCGAAGCCACCTCTGAACAGTCCGAGTGTGAGAGCCGAGCCCGAAATCCTAGCAGGCTTAGGAAGCCTGCTGGCCGGCATCCCGCCAATCTTTTTTGCCGTGCCGTCTAAAGCATACGGCAGCGGAAAGCTTCGAGCGAACACCGAAATCCTGGCACCAACCCCCCAAAACCTAACCCAAACCCTAAAACCCCTAAGTCCAGAGAGGCAGGAACTGGTATTTATCCCTCGCCTAGGCTTGTCCGAGTGTGAGTGCTGAAACCCTGAACCCCCCCTAAAACCCTGACACCCCTAAATCCCGGAAGCCTCAGCAGCGCGCCAAGCCGCCAAAGAGGAGGATCCTTATGGGCAGCTCCAGGATGCTCGCGAGGGAGTGCTCGAAGCCAACCAGGCCCTTTTTTTTCGGGGGTCTTTAAACGCGGCGGCCTGAGTAACTCGCAGTGGCAATATTTTAATAGTCAAGCCCTGCAAGCTTTGTGAGGCCTCTGCATCAGGGCGGTTAGGCTTCGGGGGTGTTAGCGGTTTCGGCTTCAGGGAGTTCATGTATGGAGTTTTTGGATCGGGCTGTGTGGTATTGATGGTTCCCAGCCGGTTCTCGAGGAGAGCATGTTCCGCGAACCCGGGCGTAGCAACAGTTTGGAGACAGAGGGTGAAGGAACCCTATAGAGTCTAAGACATAAGTCCTACAAACATAAAGACGAAAGGCCCATGCTAGGACTTCCTGAGGATTTACCATGAAGTAATGTCATCCAAGGGTCGCAGGGTCGAGCAAGAAAGGGCAGAGGCATCTTCAATTTGGAAGCCCCGAAAGCATCGGAGAGCATTGGCTTGATAGGTTCTCGTTGCGTCGACAGCTTAGGAAACGGCTTACCTCAGGTGAAGCCAATAAGGAACGCAAGCACAGAAGGAACCCAGAGCCCGAGACAGAGCTGTGATTTTCCTGCTAGGCATTCTATGCGTGCTTCAACAACAGAGATCTGGATGCCATGAGCGATCTCTGGGCCAGCAGCGTTTCGAAGTGGGGGCCTTTGCTGTTCTTCAACGATAAGGACTGGATCGGAAAAGCTGATCGTGTGGAGCCGCAGTCTGGTTGTGGGGAATATGTTGAACTGAATGTATCTTTGACATCCGCTCGTGCAGACGGTTTGTTCGCAGTGAGCTCCAGGAAGACGCTTCGGGCATCACTTGCGTGTGCACGCACCCAGACAGCTCGTGCCTGGGCAGAGCTCATGGGGCCGCACGGCAGGTCGTTTGGGCTCGTGACAGTTCCAGTTTGTGGGTGGAGAATTTCGGAGGCATGGATGGGGCGCAGCGGAACAGAAACCCCTTTGCTTTGGTCGGTCGCAGGAACGATTCGAAGGTTTAGCAAATCTATCTTGTCTTTCCTAAGCCTGGACCGTGGAGTATGCTGCTGCTGCCCTCCCATCCACCAAATTGATCTGATTGTTGGAGGAGGATGGTCGGCCGCAGTGACATTCTGACGAGCCACTTGGTTCACATCAAGCAATTGTTCTCATAGCAGTTCGAAGATGACTCATCGAGAGAAAGTTTCAAACAGTTCTACCACAAGACCTCAGAGGCTTCCTGCTTTTCTGCGGGGCCCGCTGCGGCGTTCTAGAAAGCTGCAGAGTTCGCGTCCTATAGCTTCTAGCCCATGCGCACGCCACAAAATTTCTGAGTGGCTCGAGGCTCCAGCTAGCATTCATTGGATCCCCCGACGAGCAACCCCGAACCCTTCCTCAAGCCCTGGCACCATCAACGTTTATAGTAAACAAAAGCACGCCTGGAGGTTGGTATCGAATCTTTAGCTCGACGACGCTGCCGACAGTGACCACATCCTCGGAGGAGGCTGCTTTCCATAAAAACATGCAGCGTTGTTTAGGGATGATGGGCTTGCGACTTGTGTGTGTGTGCGTTGTGTTTGTGTTTGTACGTTTGTGTGTGTATATATATATATATATGTGTACAATATGCGTGTATTGTGTAGAAAAAGATTAGAATACCTTCAATCCACCACTTTCTTCACTTAAGTGGGTGAAGATGGGGTTAGCCCAGCAGGTGATATGTTGAGCTTCTGTTGTGCCAGTGAGAGAACATCCATTTACTACTGACAACTGCGCATTGATAAACAATTCGGCAGCAGGCTGGTTTGTAGGCAGGACCTTCTCAAGCCAGTCGTTGCACAGCCCTTCAGCACCTCCCACCGACACATGACCACGGGCTTTGGACTGTCAGACATCGTTCGAAGGCCCAGCGATCGTTTCAGAAGCCTTACTTATCTTCAGTGCAAGGTCCTGCTAAGGTCTAGTTACTAGTTGCAGTCAGACTGGATAGAGAAACATGCTTAGTCAACACGCAGCTTGATCCCAGATCTTTTTCGAGGTTCTGCTTACCTCCTCAGACATGGCGGTGGTAGTTTGCAAGGAGGAATCTCGAATGCAGGGTCGCGGGTGACGCGTGACTTCGGACTTTCGGCACATATTGAAGTTTTGACCCAAAGTGTTCGTAAAGTGGCCTGGCGTACTGCTACTCAGTCCCGCGTCGTACGCAGATTGGAGACACTGGAGAGAGCCAGCCAATGCAAAGTGTCCACATCAACTGTCCAGCAGTTGGGAGCTAGGAGCCTCCAATGTGAATTTGCCTTCGTTCGAATCTGGCGATAATGGTGGCTGGGACTTCGGTGAAGAGAGATCTTGTGGGGGTCGAAGCCTTCAGACCAGGCCCTTCTCAGCAAGTTGTGAGAATCGCAAGCCATTGCCACGTCGGGCAAGGAAGCAATCAACTTCCCGTGTCAATGCTCAGAATCGATCTTCATAATTCTGCCGCGAGCTTGCCTACAACCCAGCCTTGTAAGTGAAGCTTGGCTTAGGAGACCAGCAACGGTGGCCTGCATGAGGCGACCAACACCTTCGCCCGCAGTCGAAGCCGCTTGAACAAGGCATAACCCTAACCTTGAGAAAATCGCAAGGGAATAATGAATAATGCTGCTGTATACTACCTACTGCCTACCGAAAGAACAACATGATCAGTTCCAGCACGATTTTAGGCCATTATGAAGAATCGTGGTGTCATGGGTTGCTTTGAACTGTAACATACTTGTCACTGCCGTTCCTAGCAGTCCTAGCACTGCTTGCTGACCAGGAGAGGTCTCGGTTGCGAGAGATAGACGTGCCAATCAGTGCACGTACTTGGCTGAATGACTGAAGCCCTGTTTTTTTCCTGTGGCCACGAAACCTATGTGATGGTACCTTTTGGCGTCCTGAGGCACGTGGCACGAGAAGCGGTAGAACGCCAAGCCAAGCGGGCACAGTAGGTGTGAGCTGTCAACCATGTAGAACACAGTTGCGACAGGCCTTACTTCCCATCAGCCCGGTCTCAATGCCCACCCGCAGGCCCAGCATCTCAAAGCACTTAGGTGGACGATGGTACATGGTTGGACATCAAGCGGGCCCGGTGATGAAGTAGGTTGTACCAGCTTACCAGCCACGCCCGCGAGAGAGGGCTGCCGACGATGACGCTGGCCACTAGTGGTGGGCTCACATGGTCCTAGTGGTTGGTAAGGTTATTGCGTAATGGTAGCAAAGGCGGAGCGCCTGTTCCCGAGCATGTTGATGGTAGTGACGCAGCAGCGGGCATTTATGGAGTGGGCTTTATGGAGTACGGCTGCCGTTGTCACCGCACTAGTAGCAGCAAGGGGCAGTGGCGACGCCGCAGCAGCAGGGGTGTCGGCGGGTGGCGGGCCCGCTACTGCTGTTTCTACTGCTCATCCTGCACCTCCTGCTACTACTAACTACACAGCGACAACATAGCAAGAACAGCAGCGACCACTTCCACTGTCCACTTCCACTACCGCTACGAAGACGACGACTGCTGCTGCTGCTGCTGCTGCTGCGACTGCCACTGCCACTGCGACCGCTGCTGCTGCTGCTGCTGCTGCTACGACTATTACTACGATGACGACGAATGGTGCCGCGAGCACTAGTAGCCAGCGCTGCAGGAAGAGATAGAGTTGCATGAATCTGCGGCTACAGTAATCATTTTTTTTTTGGCTGCTCACCGGGCCCTAGAACATCCTAAACCCGAAACTTCCCGAAATCAAACTCGGGCCCTCGCCACGAAGAAGGTCCCCGATAGAGAGCCAACTAACCGCAGCTTGACCCCCCGTTTAGGGTTTAGGGTCCATATAGGGTTTAGTGTAGGTGACCGCAAAATCAGAGGAGACCACCGGTAGCTTTGTCGCTTTACTGTGGTAGATTGACCGTCTGGTCACACGATGCCAGCAGCTGTAGTGTGCCTCTGCTCGATGTTCTAACAAGGCGGTAATGTTTGCCCTATCTCGCAGAGTCACCGCCTGTGGTTGTCGACATTCAGTTGTGGAGCAAAGCCTCCTGTGAAGCTCAGGGCTCAGACGTTTGTGTGTGTTTGCATCTTCGTTAGCGTTGTTGCTTGCGAGCCGTTGTGCTTCACTCGCGTGGCGGACATATGTGGAGCCTTGCCAGCCGCGTGCGAGAGTGAGAGTCGAAATCCAGAGCTCGGAAGCTTTGCATCGGCTCTGCGACTCGATCCGTTGCTGGCAAAATGGGCAAACTCAAGCTGTGTAGGTGATTCGTGTGTTGCTGGTCATTCGTTTGGTTTGGGCGAGCTGTGTTTCATCTCATGGTGTTTCCGTTGCGGACTACTCCAAGGGATGATGAGTCTGTTTCCCGCAAAACCATCCGGGCGCACAAGTCTTTGCTCAAGACTTCAGTATCCTTGCAAGCTCACCTGCTTTTCGAAAGGGGCTGTGGGAGTTGGGGAACCGGAGGACCTGGAGACCCGGAGTGAAGCCTGCAGGGCGCTGGGGGTCGGTGCCCAAGGGGGTCCTGTAAAATCAGCCCATGAATCAAACAAACAGTCTTGAACTTGCCACTGCAGAGGTTGAGCTTCCGACTGAAGCAGAGGCCGAGGTCCGGCAGCCCGGGGGTGGTTTCGAGGCCACGATGATCGTGATGTCGACGATGCGAACTGCCCTTAAACTATAGGCGGACTTATGTTTGCTATTCTTTCCTTTGTTGCAGCAGTAGCACTAGCATTGTTCAGTTTTTCGGAGAAGGAGGAGGCGGAGAAGGCGGGTTTTCAAAGTTAGAGCTTCGAGGTGCACACATGCGAAGAGAAGACAGGGATCCCGGGATATCCCGGGATCACTGTCAGAGTGAGCACAAGGAAGTGTCATAGTCGCACATGATTGTCTAGGGCAGGGCACTATCGGGTGAGAGTGTGAGCCAGCAACTCCTTGCAGAGAGCGCCCTTCGCTCAGACAGTCATGCCATTGGCCGTCCTTAGAGAAACCCTGCTCTAAACCGTGAGCTCGCAGCACCAAAAAACCTAAACACTAAGAAGGACGATGTCGACGAAGCCAACTTTGGCCGTCGAATGGATCCCTTGCAGGAGGAGGCGTTACCTGGGTCTCCGGGCTAGGGACTTGGGGTTACGGGCTGAGCAGCTTCTGATTTATATGCGCTTGCGTGTACATAAGACTACGGGCATATCATAGATGACTGTTGAAGGGGACCGATGGGCCAAGCCGCATTTGATGTTAAACGATACCTGCGGGCATCGAACATCGATGTAGAATGAGCTTGAAAAAAACATCATCCAATACAGTCGTGCGTTGTCTTACGGCACGATTCTTTACAGGTTTAAAGACTTGTAGTGTCTCTTGGACTTGGGATGCGTTGAAGACTTTCAGGTTGCAGTAAGCTTCAAGAAACTCCGCTTCACAGGAGCCCCTAGTGTGCTGGCTGCGGCTTAGTTTAGTTCTTGGATAGAACTTGGTGGGTAATCTGCTACGCTTTCTAAGTAGGAGGCCATCAAAGGGTGTACTTATTTCGTTTTCCGGAACGAATTCCGGGGTTACGGATCAAAGATCAGCCTGCTGGAGGTGGCCCAATGCGCCGTGTGCCGGTCCCAGATGTGTGGCAGTCTGTTCATGTCGCTGTCCCTGGATCCCGGTACATCCATCTGTACATACATTTGTATGGATATATATATATATATACATACACACACACACATATATATATATATACATTCTATAGGTATGTACTATCTCTTTACTTCTCTGTATGTGTATGTATATGTATGTTTATGCATGCATGCATGCATGCATGCATTCATGCATGTATGTATGTATGTATGTATGTATGTATGCATTATGCACATACATAAATACATAAATACATACATACATACATACATACGTACGTACGTACGTACATACATACATACATACATACATACATACATACATACATACATAATATTATATATTTGTAAGTATGTATATTCCGAGACAGTAGTTAGACGGAGCGATGCAGACGCAGCTTAGATATGGATTAATTGTAGGTGTAGAGTATCTAGATATGGATATAGATAATGCTGGATAGGTGTAGAAAGAGAGTCCTTGATTGCCGCATTTTCGGCTGCAAGAGCACGAGAAGATCTCGACCACGTCCTTGCCGCCAGCCGGCCGTTGAGCTCCTTCAAGATGGCCATGAAGAGCCTCTTTTGAATTCTGCCGTTTAGGATCAGAACCCTGAACCCCGACCCGGTTGATATTGACCAGAACAGCGATAACAACCCAGGGGTGATTGTCATTGGTGCCTGCGGCGAGGGCACGGGATATCAATTGTCGGGATGGTATCGGAAGCTGCTCGAGGTGCAAGGTTCCCGAACCCTCGAGACACCATGCCTTGTACATTCCTATACTGTACCTTCGAGTTTCCTTTCGGCATGAAGCAGGTCAGACTATTGAATCTCCTCGCAGGGTTGGGGCGCAGAGTGTGGGAAATGCAGACTCCAACAACCGAACGTTCTCATTTTAAGCTGGCGTTAAACGAGAAGGCCCTGCTGTTGAGGTGTGTTCGCTGGCACACAATCCAAGCCCATGCTGAAAAGCTGGCGTGATGAAAGTTTCGGATGACCCGTAATTATCATCTAGTCACTAGTAAAACGCCAGAACATATTCCTAGTACAAACCGTGCATCAGCCGATCAGCCAATCAACCCTTAACCATAAGCCCTTTAAACACCATAAGCCCTAAATCCTAAACCCTAAACAGTAAAACCCAAACCCTAAACCACTAAACCCTAAACCCGACCAGCCGATCAGCCGATCGGCTGACGCGCAGTTGGGAAACCCATTTGCGAGCACAATGCACATTCCGAGACCAAAAGCCCCCTATCCACTATACACCAGATGAAAGGAAAGCCGAGGGTGCCGTGGACGTTGATGTGGCCTGGCAGCTTCATGACCCTGAAGCGTACAGCTAATGATGTCCGGCTTTGAAGCCCAGCTCAAGCCTATCCGACTTCAGTTTCAACGTTCGTGGCTGAAGCTTGAAACCCCGAATGCCCTAGAGCGCTTCAACCTTCCCTGTCCTTGGAGATTTCTCAAAATCCAGCCGCCCGAGGCCATCGTCGACCAATGCTTGGAAGTGAAGGGAGGCCGATCGCGTGAGAGTATCGAGGTAGTTTGTAGATTTTAAGAGTTTCCATAAGTTTGCCGGCCCTCTCGCCCTCCTCCCTTCGCTCTCCCCCTCTCCCCCCTCCCATCCCTCGCTCCCTTCCGTCCTCCCTCATACCTCCTCCCTTTCGGTCTCCCTCTCCCTCCCTTCCTCCCTCCCGCGCTCCCACGCTCCTGTGCTCCTGCTCTCCCGCCCTCTCTCTTTCTCTCTCCCTCTCTCTCTCTCTCTCTGCATGCGCCCCAGCCCCGCAGCCTTCATGAAGTCTTGATGCACGTCTCCCCGAAGATCCTTCACGACAGCAAAAGGAGTGACAGTTCGTTAGGTCACTTCCCAGCCGCATAGCGCAGGAAAGCCCGGCAAGCTGGTGAACATCCCGGAAGTGCAGGCGGCCGCCTTGCATTTTGGGTTTTGGTGTTTATGCTTGAAGTGCAGGTGCAGGCATGAATTTGGGCCGACACGGTTTGGTATTCGTGTCCAGGTTGGTGCAAACCTGTGCCCACAGACACAGACACAGACTGCTCCATCTAGCCCGCTATCTACCCATCCAGCTATCTATGTGTTTGTCTACCTGTCTATCTGTCTGTCTAACTGCTTATGTATCTATCAATCACTCACTGTCTGCAATATACACTTCTCAATCTATACGTCTTGTTTACATACTTACACACACAAGCATGTGCATACATGCATGCATCCATGCATGAATCCATGCATGCATACACACATATACACATACACGTACGTGTACAGGTGCGTGTACCGGAAAATATTGAGATACGTAGGTCGCAGTGTGGCTTGCTGTGGAAGTAAGCTGTGCTGTGGACATGTCACTTCGGTCGTAAGCCTCGACTCAGCACGAGTTCAACAAAACGTTTGTGTGGACAGACAGCTCGTAGACAGAAAGCTGGACAGACGGATAGATGGAACGATAGGTAGATCGCTAGGCAGGCAGGCAAGCAGGCAACCAGGCACGCGAGGAAGGCAGCCAGACAGATAGAGAAACAGCGAGACAGAAGGATAGTCAATGTGGTCAATTAGAGAGGCAGTTCTCACGCACGTTTGAATGCGTGCAGGGACTCGGGAACACATGCTTGTGTGCAGCTGATAAATATGCGTGCAGGTATTGCGTGTGTATGTATGTATGTATGTATGTATGTATGTATGTATGTATGTATATATGTATGTATGTGTACGCAGGTAGGTAGCAAGCTAGCCGGCTAGCTAAACAGGTAGGCATGGATGGATGAATGGCTGGATGGGGAGAGGGCGGGAGAGGGAGCGAAAGACAGAGACAGAGAGAGGGCGCGCGAGAGAGGCATTAAAGCTTTGAGGCTTTGCTGTTTCGGCTGCATGGCCTCAACTGAGGGCGAAGGTTTCAGTGTGTTGTACTTGTTTGGTTCGAGGGCTTAGGGTCCATGGTGACAGGATCGAAGTCACATATCATGAAGCCCCAAATCTTGCATGATTTTGAGGCTGATGACGGAAACTTTCGAATCATGATAATGGTTTCCACCTCTCCACTGGGCAGGTAAAGGGCCTGTGCACGGCTGTCCGCCAGATCTTTCTGGATCAGAACGCCACTGGGACAAAAATATGAAAGGAGCATCTAAGGGTCATGTGTAGCTAGCTGCAGGGCTTTCCTTGGCTCGGTATATGCATGTCGGGGTCGACTGTTCGGGAAGCGCTAAGATGCCCACTTTAATTACTGTAATATTTTGCTTGGTACATTAGGGGTTTCCTTTCGGGCGTCTTTCCTCTTCTTTCGGGTCCGAAAAATGTAGCGGCCTGCAATTACAAAGCCGCTTACTGCGTGCCATGAGCTGCCGGCTGCATAGGAGTTGTTTCTAGTTCTGGTGTGGGGATGAGGTTGAAGGTTTGGATTGCTTGCTCAAGTCTTCATGTTGGAATGCGCCCGGGTTCTGTGCTCATTCGTAAGTACATGCGTGCCGGGGGATCAGTGCGAGGTGTCCCCCCGCACGCAGGTGCAATGTGTGGTCCACTTCTGAGGCAATTTGGATCCATGCACAGTCCCGCTGCAGCCGCGTCCTCCCGGGACACCATCGCAAGGGGTGCCATGTTGAAGCGCTGGAAATGTCCAAGGGGCCGCACTATTCGTCCTGTGGTCCTGGGGGCAGCGTGTTTTTGCACTATGGCGCTTCTCGGGCTCATGCGTGTGGACTCCTGATTCGCTAGTACATGTAGGGGAAACGATTGGTTTTGGTTGTCACGGTGGCCCTGTTCGTCCTGTGTTTTTTTTGGGGTGGTATTCTCCTTGATATCTGAAACCCGAAACCCTGACATCCTATGCAAGATCCTCTGAACCCCGAAACCTTGACCCGAACCCCTGGAGTTCCCTGTACCTGAGCCCTTATGCATTCCACTCGTCAGTTTTTGTTCAGGCCCTGCTGGAGCTCGAGGCACCCTTGAAGATTTGCCACCCGGCCGAGCTCTGGTTTTCTGGCATTTCAGGTTTGTGGTTAAGGGCGCGTGGCTTAGGGTTTGGTCCTCAAGCTATGGGGTTACGGGTCCCATATTGAGCGGCTGAGTGTCCTGAATGAACTCGTGCAGTCAAGGGAAGATGCAAATCCCTACGCCCCAAACTCCGAAAGCCCCTGCTGCAAAAGAAAAGTTAAAGCCCCTGCCGAGGTGGCGATGTCCATGGCCAGTACCACGACCTGCTCCGGCTTTTTGAGTACGGCGGTTTCCCTCCGGACATTTGGCCGCGGGAAGAGTTCAGTTGCTCGCGAGGTTTGGGGGTTTTCGACTTCAGGGCCTGTTGGGGCTTGGGGTCAAGGCTCTCTCGGGTTTCACACTGGCGGTAGGCATCGCCGAAGGGCTCCGAGAGTTGAGAGGGTCTGTCATGAATCGCCACGGAACAAAGTCCCGAAGCCCATGCCCTCAAGCCTGGCGCGCTACGCCCCATAACCTCAACCCGCCGGAGGAAAGCAACTACCTCTTCCTGGGCGACTACGTCGACCGAGGCATGGATAGGATGGGCGAAGTTCTCACGGCAAGCTGCAATACTGAGCACCAGACATGACGCCCACAGGAGCACCGCCAAAGGGAGCATCAATATTTGCATCACATGAAGCACAAACAAAAGAAAACGCACACGTGCGGTAGTTTCGCAGTTGCTGCTTTCCCTGTACTGTTTCTGGTTGAAGGCCACCTCGAGCTAGACGAAACAACACAAAGCACGAGCAACAGCACCAGATTTTCGCGTCAGAGAATGCGCAAACAGGTACACAAAACTTTGCTCCAGCAAAAGCACTACAACCCTGCATTTCGCAAAAAGCATCTCGAGTAATGCAAATTTCGAAGGGCTTTCCTGGATCGAGCTTCGCCTCTGTTTCAGTTTTGCCCTTTGCGGCACAGCCGGCCAATTCCGGCCCCAATACCGACAACAAAGCGTTAGTTCGTTATTGGTGCTGAG